ATACTTATTTTGAGGGTTACAAGTACATTTTAGCAGGTAGCTGAATTTGCAAATACAAAATCTGCAAATAATGAGGCTCGACTCTATATTAACAACAATCAAAACCACCAGTGCTTTCTGTGGGTAGAGAAAGTGACCTCGAGTGTTCCAGCTTAGCAAAGTCAACAGCCAGTGATTATTTTTAGGATTTTTGAAATCAGAAATTAAGGACTTAAATGCTGAAGAGTTATGAAAGCCACACAGACATGTGAAATACAGCTGCGTTTGCCTGCACGTCTCCATCAACTCAACTGTACCACTGAATGCTCTTTACACCCGCCTGCCCTTAAACTCCCTGACTGGAGTGGGGCAAAGCTGCTTAGCTGGACGCTTGGCTTCTGCCGTACAATGGTCTTTTCCGTCTTCATCCCTGACATGTGCAACATTTTACAACTGAACAAAAACCTTGGATTTTCAAATGCAAATAGACTTCAAAGGGTAAATGTTTCATCATCGTGTTGGAGGGGTGCTAAGGACTGGATACAATACTAGATCTTAGATATAATCAGTACCAATTGTGGTTAATTATTACTATTATTATTATTATTATTTTCGGTGGCTGCCCGGTGCAGGAATCCGGACCCTTGCCCTTGGTGTTTTAACACCGTGCTCTAACCAGCTGAGCTCATGGGCCAGCCCCGTTACTTATCTTTAAATCAGAAAAAAGCTCTTACAAAATTGATTATTTTAATTTTATCAATAAATATTCCATGATTTAGAGGGAAAAAATGCCAGTTTTCTAATTTCAGAATTATTCATTTAAAAGAGTCCTTTCCTTTTGGGCATCCACCTGAAGATTGGTATAATTTTAGTAAAATCTGTCTTCGGTGGCCGAAGATGCTTAGATAAACTACTTTGAACTTCAACTTTCAGAAGCAGCAGCATTTTCTTGAGATACTGTGCATGTTTTTTTTCTTGTCAAATGATAAAAAATATCTCTGTGAAACTAGCACGAAGTTATTTTCACATAATTGGAATAACTTGTTGCTTTAAATGTTACCTGGCCTAATTGGAGGGCAGTGGAGACTGTTACAAAATGTAGCCTTTTGGTTTTATTTTAACTAAGAGTTAAAAAAAAATATTCTATCATTTAAAAGCCTTTGAAATGTGTGTAACTAAAAACCAGCATAAAAAAATAAATTCAGAATAATAATGACTCCCTTAATCTCTCCTTCTTGCTTTTGTTTTTGGTCTAAAGCATTCCTAGACTTTGTAAATATTCTGACTTACTCTGTCATGGATCCTGCTACTTTGTCATCTGAGACTCATTATTTGAATTGGGGAAAATGATTTCTTATCACCCTGATAACATGAAACGTTTGTCATGCAGGCATTTAAGAGTGATGTCCACCCTCTCAGCAATCTGTATGTGAATTCACAATATTACTGTTTTACACAAGTATTGAAAACATGTATTGTGTCATGTACTGTCACATTATTTTCAGATGGTGGGACACAGCCATTAAAACTGATACTAAGCAGTGCTTAATACTTTGGTATATAAACTTCACCAGATCATTCTTTTCACATTAAACACATAAAAAAATAGGTGTATCATGTTAAAGGAGTGGGACATAAGGATTTCCCTAGCAAAGTCCTTGGGACAGTGGCTTCTTTTACGTCCTCAGAGTGTCTCCAACAGAATGGAGCCCACCAGGCATAAATGTGTAGATGTGGAAATATTTTGAAAAGTATAAAGTACAATTTAAATGTGGGTGATATAGTAAAAAATGCCCTGGAGTCACTGAGTCAAAAGGTGGGGGTTGGGGGGACATCAGGTCACAGGACACTTGGAGAGTATAGTTTCATCAAAAATACAGAGTAGTTAAACAGTAGTGATGAAGTGTAGCCAGTTAAATCTTCTCTAAGCTAAAGAAAGGACAGAAGAATGAAAGAGAAGAAAAGAAGAGGGTGACAAGGGCTTATCTTTCAGTAAAGAACTCAAGAACTTCAGGACAGACTCCAGCGGAGATGGAGCCCTAAACCCGCACCTGGAGTTTTCCCCTCTGCTCCTCACCCAAGCAGGGAAAGGTAAACACACAGCGGGCAAAACAGAAGCCACACTGAGATCCAGGACAAGGGCGGCAGGCACAGAAGCGACTGCGCAGCTGCCCACGGGGACCGCCAAGCGGGGCTGGCGGCACAGCACGTCCACGCAGGGCAGGACAGGGCCGCAGCTGGAAGCCAGGCGCTGGGGGGTCTGTCCCCAGTTGAAAGCAGATGAAAGGAAACACAACTACAGCTGCCGGCAGCTGCCACCAGGGGCTGACCCTTCTAACAAGAGGCCCGTCTTCAGATGCCCTCACCATCGGGAGAGAGAGGCTTGCTGTTCACTGCCTGGCCACTGGCAGAGTCAATCACGTGCCTAACATCACCGTGGGGTGAGAAACTCAAAGCCAAACCACACCAAACTCTCAAACCAGTTTAGTCATGGGAAAAAGTGGAGAAAGAATAAGAACAGAGCAGTGGCGTGTGCCACACGCAGGTGGAAAGCTGGCCCGTGAGGAGGACACATTGACACCACCGGGAAGGGAGGAGTCACCATAATGGATGCTGGGACAGCAGGTTTTCCATTTGGGGAAAAAAGATGGAATTAGAACCCTACCTCACGCCATATGCAAAAATAAACTCCAGGGAAAGCCTTTTGAAAGGAAAAGAAATGACAGCAAAATCTCTGGGCAATTAGATGAAAACATAGAAGTATATCTTTACAGTTTTAGAGCAGAAACAGATTTTTTTAAATAAAAACCCAAAATGCATCAACTATAAATGGAAGTTTTGGTGGATTTGTTTGGAAAGGGTATTTATAATGGGTGAGATAAACAACAAATATATTTTAAAAAACACCTGCAGATCTTCAAGAAGAGGACAACAGAAACATGCACGGAGCGCGTACAATGCACGGAGCTCGTTCAATGCACGGAGCGCGTACAATGCACGGAGCACGTACAATGCACCGAGCACGTACAATGCACAGAGCACGTACAATGCACCGAGCGCGTACAATGCACCGAGCGCGTACAATGCACGGAGCGCGTACAATGCACGGAGCGCGTACAATGCACGGAGCACGTACAATGCACGCAGCACGTACAATGCACAGAGCGCGTACAATGCACGGAGCGCGTACAATGCACAGGAGAGGAAGCCCCACGGCCCACACGCCTGACCCAGAAATGCAAATGGGCAGCAGGGAGGTGCACCTCACACCCAACAGACTGGCAAAGGGGGACAGTCCTAAGGACTGATGGTCTAAAGGCAGGGAGAGGCAGGACAGGGGATCCCAGATCGCACACTCGGGCTACTGTGTCATTTATGAAATGAAGCACTGGACATATCACTAAAACCTTTATCAGCAGTTTACTTCTCATACAATTGTCGGAAAAAATTCAAGCTTGCTTTGACTTAAAGGCATAATGGTGCGGCGTGGATGCTGTGAGTGCTGCGGGGGCCTGATCCGCGGGGCGGCTGGATGACCACGCGAGCGAGCGGCTGGAGTCCAAAAGAGACCCGCTGCCTGCCGCCTCCCCGGGAAACAGCAGAATTCCTGGGAAACTTTCGCATTCGTTTGAAGGCCCCGGTGCATGTGAGTAGATCGCTGCAGCATGAAACATAAGAAGTGGCTCTCACGGGTGCAGTGAGGCCTCCGTCAGCAGTGACAGAGTAGAGGACTCAAGTCTGACTCGAGTCTGTCTTTAGACTGGGGGTCAAAGCCTTTATCTTCTCCCTTAAATGAGGACATGCAAGTAAAAGGATGGAACGAGCTTGCGTTTAACTTAGAATCTCAAGGTAAAAGTTAAAGACCTCCTGTTTACAGACAGCGAGTGACGCTGGGGATAACGTGACCTACCGTTGAACGCAGGTGGACACGCTCATTTTTCAAGAATCTCAAGCGAACCTGGGAGCTAGCTGAAAACTGTCTGAACTTAACGGCGCCTGGATGACTCACCAGTTTGGAAGTGCCCACTCTGAAGCAGTGCTGGTGGATGGTCCAGGAGGACGCGTCGAACACGATCACTTTGCCTTCGTTCAGGGCGCACCATAATTTGGGGTGAGCATCTTCAATTTTTTCTGCGGGGTCAAGATGCCCTGAAAGGAAAGCAACCCAAAAGTGCTTGAAGGAAAAGCTGTGGGTGTAGCAGCAGGTGATTCCTGCCGTCACTCAGGGGTTGGCTGGGTGCCTACTGAGGAGTGCAGGGCACCGGGCAGGGTGCCAGAGGTACCAAGTGAGTGGGACAGACTGTCCTGCCCCCCGGAGCTCGGGGGTGTCAATCTTTTCCCTTTTGGCCACTTTAAAGGTGGGTTCTCAATTGTGACCTTATTTGCATCTCCTTAATTGCTAACGAGGCAGATGGCTTTCCTTGGTCATTTGGATCCCTCTTTCGTGAAGTGTCTAGTCTCCTGACAATTTTTGGAGTGAGTTGTCTTATTCTCCCTGATTTGTAGCTGCTCTTTACGCTACTCTTGACACGAACCCCTAACTGATCGTCCTGGGGCATGGGGAGCCTTTCCCTGTCCGTGCCGTGCACTTCCACCCTCTCGAAGTCTTTTTAAGACCTTTGATTTTAATTCAGACTCGCCGGCCTCTGGCGGTGCTTCCTCTGCTGCCCTTCTCTAGTCTCCCACAAGCTCGCGGGCACCGCTCACTCAGGTCTGCTTTCCCTTCCCATGACGTGTCAATCCTCTTGGAACCGCGCAGTGGGGACAGTCTGAGGAGGGCTCATTCACATAGATAACAAGGTCGCATGCCCTTGATGGTGAGGGCCGTCCTCTACCCAGCCCCATCCCACGGTGCCCTCTGCCATAACTCAGGAGCACGCACTGCCGCTCCTGGGGGGGCACTTGGTCCGTCGGTCTGTCAGCACCGTGGAGGAGCCGCACTCTCTCCCCATCAGAGCCCAAGCCCATGCGAAGGGGCTTCTGCACCCAGGGGCAGTTCTCCGAACTCCTCGGTAGCCCTTGTGAGTCCCAACCCCGAGCTGCCGGGTTCCCCAGGACTCCCGCTCCTTGATGGGTCCTGACTCCAGCTTCTGTCCGTCCTGCCCCACGAGGCTAGCAAGGCTCTGCTCAGCTGCCAGCGTCGCAGCCGCCTCTTCCAGAACTGCCACCACGCCCCGGGGAAGCGCAGCGTCACGGCTCCTCATGGTTTTTCCTGCTGCGTCCAGCCCTTCTAGGGACAGGGGACCTACTTGTCTCACCATGACAGGAAGCCCAGAGTCCAGTTTTAATTTAAGGGAAACTAACTTGGCTCTAAAAATCCTCATTTACTCAGGTGCCATGACAAAACTGTCTTGGTCTGTGAGGTTACAGTGGAGTGATGTCAACCAGGAGTCTCGGTTAGATGAATCGAGGGAGCCGCAGGGAGGACGCCCTCCGACTGTGTCCTACTCTCTGTCGTGTGTGATCACTGCTTCACCGGGTTTCCCTGACATGCAGCAAAGAGATAAAAACTCTCACCAGGCAATTGCTTTTCCCCAGAGCCTCCATGCCCATCAGAACTGAGAGCCCCCGGTGTGACTCAGATGGCCCCGCAAAGTCCTGACACACCCGTGGGAAGGAGACAGCGGCCGCGCAGAAGGGACGCGCTGCCATTCCTCAGTCACGGATGAGCCGCGGACAGAGCACTGCGCTTGAAGTCCTTTCCGGCCTACAGCTAAGTTCCTTTGCTTTCCAACACTACAGGCCCTCAGTGTAACCTTCCCTGCTGCGATTCTGCAAAGCCGGAATTAAATAAAAGTGCTTGCACACTTTGAAACGCACCACGTGCCCGGGCCCTTGTTCATTCTTGGGCCCTTGGCAGCACCGATTCCTCTCTCCTGCCATCGCCCTCATGCAGCTTTTGGGGACTAGGATGTCTGTGTACGGAAGGCAGAATGCACAGCCGCGCCAAACAAGAAGAACTGCATTGTCACCCACTGACATCAGTAAACGGCACGTGTCTGTCCAGTTTCCATGACAACAAGTATCTGAGGTACAATCACCTTATCACAATGACACCTGGATCAGATCAAACATCCTAAAGGGAAATCACGTGAGTGGAAACGCTCTGTAAGCCACGACCGTGGCAGAGGCGATGGCCACAGGGGAGGGACGCCGGAGGGAGCGGGTGCAGGCGCAGGCACCAACCCCAAGTCACTCTCCTACGTCCCCACAGCTCGGGCCATCGGGGGCCAAGGCCACGGAGCAGCCGCAACAGCTTCACACTCCTCACTGAGGACTTCGCCCTAAAAAGTGGAAAAGCACCCTGTCCCCATTTTCGCCATGATGCTGTCTCCTCTCTCACTTCAGGGCTGACCTTGAACCAAATTGAAACTTGTCATATTGCTTTAAAAAACAGCAGCAATGACCAAGTTCAAGTCTCTCTACCTGGCGTGTACAGCAAGACGTCGATGGCTTGTGGGAGCGTCTCCCCGGCTGAAGGATTTATCTTGTGTTTCAGCGTCTCCGATGTCGTCTTTGGGACCGCCATGGGCACTGCAAGGCAAACCTGAGTGTTACTCTACTGACACGAGGACACTGCTCCTAGGGTCTGATCTCTATCCACCCTCAGCCATTGCACACTGCCTAGCAAAGTGAAGATTTACAACATTCCTCAGGAACGAAATATTCGCAACATGAAGGCCCAAGGTCTACCCCAGGAGCACAGGCTCACAACTCTGGACATCTGGGGCTGGATAACTCCCTGTTATGGGGCCGCCCTGCATCCTGTGCATGGAGGACGTTTAGCAGCGTCCCTGGCCAGATGCCAGTAGCACCGCCCCCCCCAACATGCACAACCACAAATATCTCCAGGCATCAGCAAAGGCCTCCCCACCAGGAACGGGGCACAAAATCACTCCTGGTTGAAAACCACTGCCCTTGAGGATAACCTTACACCCTCCTCTCTTCTACACAATCCAATCCATGTTTGCAGACAAACCCTAGAACTGCCCCTCTCCAGAGTCTCCAGGGACTGCCCTGTTCTGCTGGGGCTCTCCCCGCTGATGTCCTGCAGGGCGCCCCATAGTCTCGTTTATCTGTTAACCACTTAGTCGCTGCAGTGTAAGAGCCACTGACTTCTCTTCCCTCATTTAATTGTCTCACAACAATCTGGTGAGACTGATGCCGTTATATCCTCATTTTGAGAAAAGAACAATGAAAAGCCTGGCATGCAGTGATGCTACGTGATCTAGTGAAGATCACACAACCAGCAGGTGGCCGACCAGGACTCCCACATGGGTCTGGCTGATTTCACCAGAACGCAGTCAATGCTAATCGGCTCCTCTGCCGGCGCCTCTTCTCCTGCTGCCCTGAATTATGAAATCTCATGTTACTATTTAGTTTCGTACATTTTGGACCTTCCATCATGAATTGACCATTAGCTATTAAGTCAAGCTCAGGACCACATACAAGTGTCTTCACCCCATTTAGCTTCACACACAGGAAAATATTTCTTGGTTTGTGAAAGAGGGATCAGGAACACACACATGTTTTGTGGGAATGAGCTTGAATGACTCCCCCTTTGCCATACAGAACAAGGTGGACAGTACGTGACAGTGAGCTGTCCTTTGCTGGAGCTACCATGGCCTGTCTGTCCACAGAGGAGCTGGAAGGCTTTTCTGTAAACTCCTGGCAAAGACTGGGTGTGCGACTGGCGTGGAGTAAACAGCTGAAGCACACTGCTTGCTTGGCTCTGTCCCTAACTCAGGAAAATCCAGAACCATCACTGCTGGTGCCAGGGCTGCCGGTCACAAGCTCCCTTGAGTCGCTCCAGCAGGTCTTGAGGCAACAGAGGCACCTGAGCACTCTGGCTGGGTCCCCAGGGTCACATGAGAGTGGAAAGCCTCGGGGGTCCCACAGTTCATAAGAGACATCACAAAATGAGCGAAATGTGCTAAAGAACACCTAATTAAGGTTTGTTTTTCCTAATTCTGGGACGGTGTTTTTAAAAATCTGTCCCTAGCTATATGCCCAAGAGAAATGAAAACAAATGACCACCCAAACACTTGAACATGAGTGCTCATAGAAGCATTCATAATAGCCAAAAAGTAGAAACGATGTCTATCAAATGTCTACGACTGATGAACAGATAATCAAAACGCACTATATCCAAACAATGGAACATTACTCAGCCATAAGACAGAACGAAGCACTGATTCACACTACAACGTGGATGAACCTTGAAAATATTAGGCCAAATGAAGGAAGCCAGTCACAAGAGGACACATGTTGCAGGATTCGATTTCTATGCTATATCCAAACAATGGAACATTACTCAGCCATAAGACAGAACGAAGCACTGATTCACACTACAACGTGGATGAACCTTGAAAACATTAGGCCAAATGAAGGAAGCCAGTCACAAGAGGACACATGTTGCAGGATTCGATTTCTATGAAATGCCCAGAATAGGCAAATCCACAGAGACAGAAAGCACATTGGTGGTTCTTAAGGAATGGGGGTATCTGCTAAAGGTTATGGGGTTTCCTCTTGGGATGAAGAAAATGATCTAAAATCCACTGTGCTGATGATTGCACAGGTCTGTGAATATGCTAAAACCCATTAAGTTGTACACTTTAATCGGATACGGTACACGAGTTATATCTCAATAAAGCGGTTATCAAAAAAAATTCCACCAGAATTCATACAAGCAAAACTTGACGTTACTTATATAACATCCCTACTTTGTTAATCGGCGTTTTATAAATTTTATATTGTTGGTTTAATTTAACACACGTTAATTATGACATGTAGCAATGTTAACAGCAACAAGTAGTCCTGTATATATTCTCCATTTCTATGCAAGTCACAAGACAACTGGTTTTAGGAGATCATTTAAAAATTTGAACAAAATAGAAATAGCTAAAATGATGCACAGAGTCATTCTCAGCTCTTTGTTCCTAGGCTTGAAAATTATCTTCCAAAAAAAAAAAAAAATGTGGGCCCACCACTCACCTCTGTCTAGTTTCCAGAATGTGAGAGCCAGATCTAAATCTACAGGAGGGAGATGGGAGAACTGCCATCTGGGGAAACTGACTAGGTCAAGAAAAACATATATACTGACACTCGGAGCCTCCCCTCTCCACGCAGCGGTGAAAAGTCCAACCACGCCCGGGTTCCCACAGCTTCTCGGTGGGTTGACCCTGACTGCAAGTGCCTGAGACCAACTCTCTAACCAGTCCAGAGATTCCGTGAACTACTCAATAGCCTTCTACAGATTTCTATTGCGCTTAAACCAGCCAGACGAAATTCTGTCGTTTGCAACAAAGAATCATGACAAACACCTTACCGTGTGCAATGGAATGCACCCAGACATTAAAATTACGAGGTGCCTCAACGCGTCCTAATCAGCAAAGAGCTGCATGTTAAGTGAGAAAAGAAAGATGCGCAACAGTGTGGCTTTCAAAAATCAATTAGAAGTATAAAAGAAAAGAATTGGGAAATTTGAGATGGGTCCTAAGTGATACAATAAATGTCAACCAGATAAAATCACTTAAGACCTGTACTCAAGATGCCATCACCATGTGAAGTCCCTGCTTGCTTACGTTCATTCTTCATCTTATCAAAGTAAGACAATTTGGAGGCAGCATAAATGGCAGCCGGTGACTGCAGTGTGCCCACGACGGCATCCATCAGCAAGACATTGGTCAGCGCTTGCTGGATGTACTGGGGGTCCTAGGACAGAGACAGGTGTGTTTCAACACCGCGAGAACCACCATCTATCAGTTCACCACAAGACTTGTCACATTACATAAAACACTACTTGTCAAGGTACATTTTTTCAAAGCAACATGAAGACTTTAAATGAATGAGGAATTTGGATTTTGGTCATGTGGTTTTTTTCTTTTAGTTAAGACACATATCGATTGTTTATATCAGGGGTCAGCAAACTTCTATAAAGGGCTACATAGCAAACACTTCAGGCTTTGTGAACTGTGCAAGTTCTATTGCGACCATTCAAGTCTGCCATCGTAGCATGAAAGCAGCCATGGACGTTTTGTAAACAAACAGGCATGACTATGTCCCAATAAAACTTTATTTACAAAAATAGTCCACTGGCCCATAAGCTTTGGTTTGACTACACTGGTTTATGCTAAATTAACCAGCGGGTGCAAAATCAAATGGTTAGTGCAAAATTCAGAATATTGGAATCTTAGAAAGGAACTAGTCCCCTCCCACTCCACTGACCAGGAACTTCCCGTCATACATGGCAGCTCACCTGCCACTGGAAAGTATACTCCTAACGTTTGCCACTGTGGTGGGAGTCAATGTCACCTGCATTTCTCTGATAATCTTGCGTGAGTGCCCCATTCACAGTCTTTGCCCATTTTTATTGATTCGTCCTCCCTTATCTTGACATTTAGACAACACTCCCCTCACAGACTCTCCATCTGCTACCTCAATCCATGGTACCGTCATAACCAGGAAATCATAATTAGGTGTCATCAAAGCCATCAATCTGGCCCAAAGTAAATTAAGGTACAAAAATCCCTAGGAGATAATCTTAACCCTTCGAAGGAACCTAATACTATGCCCTGTCGAATTCCTAGTCCTGTGAAGTTGAAAGGCAGAGAGGTGCTCAGAGCAGGGTGCACCCAAAACACCCAACCCAGCCCCGTCAGTCCACTCACTGGGACGTCACAGGACAGGGGCAGTAGAGAGGGAACGGGGAAGCACAGGGCTGCAGCGCCCACGTCCACCCACCCGCTTGCAGCCCCTGAATTTCCCCACCACGGCTTTCCCAAATGCCATCAGGCCTCCTGCTGGGTCACACAAACCACAGCATCTCAGTGCCTTCTCTGAAGACCTCAGCTAATTCAACTTATGCTACTAGAGGCCCTGAGCTGTAACAGCAGAGCACTGCCACAAGGACCACCTGTGCCCAGATGTGCCCTAAGAGAGTCACAGCAAAGAGGCAGAGGCGACCGCACGTCTCAGACCTTGTGCTCATCGGCCAGCTTCTTCCCAGCCCACATCTCCTTCACCATCAGGTGCCAAAGGTCACACTCCGTTTTAAGGTTGGCTTCAAAGACTTCTTTCTTGGACACCATTTTAATTTTTAAAGTGGGTATTCTCCGAAGCAGAAAAGCAACCGTGGTGCTTCTGACTTCCTACAGAGGCAGAGAGAGAAAAGGCAGGTAGAACCACACGCTCAGGGGACACTAGGACTAACGAGAGGAAAAGAAACGCAAGCCCTGGAACCCGGCAGCAGCTGGGCCAAAAGCCTCTGCACTCCTGGCAGCGTCCAGAGGGCAGGGACCTCAGCCTTCAAGGCACGCAAATATTCCTGGCGACAGTAAGCGTGACTCATCAGCAGCGCATCGACACGGATCCACACAGTGACTCGTTCACGGTGTTGGAAGGTGGTGCCTTCTCTCACGTCTTCGCTGCTTCTGTGTCTCTGGAATTCTAGGAGGAAGTCTGGCAAAGCAGGTGTGGGAAGCAACTAACAGGGAACAGCGAGAGCCGGGACCCATCGGCCTGGCCTCTGCCCGGGGCTGCAGCTGCGGCTGTCCTGCTCCTCCTGGTTCTGTGACTGTCCTGTGGCTGACTACACAAAGCATTCATGCATCTAACACATGAATGCTGCAGCCCTTTTAGGCGTGGGAAAGTAAATGCAAGGCATAAGATGCAGCAGGATCACAGTACAGATTCCCTGAATGGGGGGAAGTGACTGCCTATAAAATATGATGTTAAGATTGTCATAAAATAAACACGTGCCAGGTAGGAACGTGATTAGAAAATGTAAGATACAGCAGCCCATGGTGACCAGCACCTGGTGGTCTCTCGATAAATACCCGACGGATGAACTCACTTCCTCCCCTGCTCCCCCCACAGAAGGGCCCCCTGTGTTGCTTCTCACTTCTTGCCTCTCAAACCAAGTAAGTTGTATTAGAAAGTCAGTCACAGACGAACACTCTCGGCTCTGAGCATCTGACACAATCTACTCAGTCCTCACAACGGTCCGACCAGGAAGGTACCATTATTATGCCCATTTTACAGATGAGCAAACTGAGGAGTGGGAAGGTAAGTGGACTGCAGAGGGTCCACAGGCAGTACGTGGCCCAGCTGGGACAAGGTCCACACAGTCTGCTCCAGTGAGCTACCTCCTAGACACAGGTGGACTCCACAGCTGGCTGGCCGTGCACGTCTTACCTCTATATTTCGGAAGGTGGAAATCTCCACGTAACCCACTCTTCCCTCGGTTAGGAGGAACAGGCGCTTCTGGGTCATGGCGATCTTGCCCACGCCGCGATTAGTCTTGACGGAGCTCGACAGCTTGTACACGCACTCGTTTTTATCCAGATGTTCCATCACCAGCGAAGGCAGGCTGACCTCCTGGGCCTCTGCTTCTGTCTCCTTCCAGCAATTGTAGAAGTCTTTGAATGTTTCTGGGTCAATTTGTTTCTGCTGTCCTTAGTGCATAAGAAGAAAAGAGAGGTTTCTTACGGCCACATGTGCAGGGAACTTCAGGAACTTTTGCATTACCTTAAGAAATAGCACGTTACCCAAACCAGGCAGCGGATGGCACCAGGACTCAGGTCTATCTGGATAGAGTCGCCTTCCCCAGCAGCCCCAGGAGTCCACAGTGGGGCTCATGGTCTAGTCTGAGCCCGTTGCAGCCCCAGGTGTCCACGGTGGGGCCCACGGTCTAGGCCGAGCCCGTCGCAGCCCCAGGGGGGGCCCGCGATCTAGGCTGAGCCCATCTGCCCTTTCCAGCCCCTGACTCAGGATGGCCATGTGACCTACTCCAGGTAGTCACACTAACTCTTAGGACTTCGGGTGGGAACACTGGGACAAGGACACTCTTTTCTTATAGTGGCAAAAACGTTCCTCATCACTAGAATTGGTGGCCACCATCTTGGGGCCATGAGGGGAGCTAAGTCCCGGGATGAATCTGACACTGATGACCAGATCCTTGGTGACACTCCCATGCCACTGGATCAGCCTTGTCTGAAACCGGCCCTACCTCAGTACTCTGGTTGTGAACAAATAATTTACTTTTATTGTTTACACCAAGATCATTATAGTTGATGTGACAAGCTTTCCCACTGTCCACTATTCATGGGCTCTGGAGTCAGAGGGACCCAAGTCTGAAGCCAGCCTCCCTACTGTTCAGCAGTGTGACTTCGGGCAAGCCATGGAATGTACCTGCTTCCTTATCTGTAAAATGGAGATGGGACACCCCTCAACGCCACCCCCCCCAACCACTAATAAGTCCTGCCAGTGCTAATCCCGTAACGCTTCTCTGTGTCTGCTCCTGCCCTGGCTCGGTTCTGCCTCTGGCATGTGTCCCATACCTGTCTGTTCCTCTCTGTGTCCTGTGAGGGACAGGACATGCCCCCTCAGTCCTGCACAGAAAGAAGCTCCTTAATGGCTCCTGCCTTTGGAGCTGCCCCCTCGCAGCCAGCTTTGCTCAGTGCCCAGAGTGACTTTCCTAAAATGCAAGTAGGAGCTCTCACTCGCTTGTTCAAACACTTGAGGGGTCCTGTCCACACTAGACCCCAAATTCCTCCAGGATCAGCCCTTCCCCTCCTCACACCCGCATTCCCGTCACACCAACTATGTTCCAAACCAGCCGTGCTGTTAGGTACCTCTGCACACGCTCCTCCTGACTGCTCAGACCAGAAAACTCCTACTCATCCCTCAACACCCAGGTCAACACCCCCTTGCGCAGCCTTCCCTGACAAGGCAGGGTCCTGCTGGCCAGGCCACCGCTGAGCTGCTCACATGCTTCCCGCACGCACCCTTGCATTCAACACTTGCTGCACACCAAGGACCGTGCTCCACACTCTACGCAGGATCCCATTTAATCCTCTCGACCACCTTATGAGATCCACACCACCATCAGACTCGTTCACAACTTGGGAAACTGAGGCATGGAGAGGAAAGTCCCTGGCTGGCAGAGCTGAGCCTGAGGCCAGGCAGAGGGTCCCTCCCAGAGCTGTGCTAACACGCGTTTATGGGTCTGCCTTCCCTGCTGATCACAGCCCGAGAGGGCAGGACCTGTGTCCTCTCTGACCTGAGCCTGCTTAGAGGTCTGGATCTGAAACAGCAAAAAATGTGGCTCAAGTCCTAGCTTGGCGGCGTCCCTGCTCTGATTCCACAACAAGGCATCAAGGGTGGTGGTTATCTAGGGAATGTGCTCTTGTGGCCACAGCTGAGACTGGGACAACTAAGCAGTCACCATAGCAACTCATGAGGGGACAGCAGCACGCAGGGGAGCCAGTGCCATAACAGGTTCAGGAGGAAACTTCCTTGACTTTTAAATCTCACTCTACATAACAGGACTGTTGATATCATGGGAGCCGGGAGGAACAGGAAGGTCACCTGTGGCCACCACCCAGTGCAGGCGCCAGAGTGTTTGTGTCAACATCTCCACCAGGGGGCAGGATTCTGAGTTAGCTCTTTGTCTTTTTGCTTATCTGTATTTTTTCATTGGTTTACAATGGTTGTATGTTACTTACAATTTTTTTTTAAGTTTTAAGGCCCCTGGACCCAAACAGAAAAGAAATGCACAACAGTCAGGGCAGTTGTATGCACTTGTGTGGTGTTTACAAAGAAGTCACTGAGGGAGACAAAGGACAGCAGGGTGGGGGTGCTCGTGGACAGACCAGCAGGCCCGGTCTCTGCAGCCCCCTGCACTGGGCAGCAAGGTCATCGATGAGGTCGCGCCTGGACCCCATGAGGTTGTTTGCCAGAGCTCCCCTTCTATTTCAGAAACACTGACTGGGCAGCTCAGTCTACACTTCCCACAGGGTCTCATGATTGGATTTGATCAGGGCACTTATTACTTTAATCGGCAATCACAGAAGACAATCTTTAGGTTAAGCAGCTGAGCAAGGAGAAGCCAAAGACACAGGAAAATAAGAGTGAAACCACAAAGGCACAACTTAATGAAAGACTCAAAAGAGTTCCTGAACATGGGGCCCAGAGCCAAGCATCTGTCTCTGTGTCACTCAGGACAAATCCTCTCACTATCTGGGCCACAGCAGTTGCTGGGGCCATGCAGAGCAGAGCACGTGTCACCGGGACCTGAAACAGCTTCCTCTCAGACAGATGGTGGCGCTGGCCTCAGACGTGAGGATCTTTATGGGTTCTGGGAGACCAGCTGTGCACAACCACTGCTGTGCACACCCACCACCGTGCACACCTGCAGCTGCTGAGGTGCGCACCCATGGCCGTTGTGCACAGACATCCTGCACACACACGCTCATGACCACTGTGTAAGCCACAGCAACTGTCACACACACGCTTGTTGCATATGCCCACACAGAATGCCCATCTCTCATCTGTCTGCAATTTTCCACAAGAATGCGACTGTTCAGTTCTCTCCTGCCACCCACACACCTCCAACACAAGCCCCCAGCTCCCCTCAGCAGCATGCAGGAGGCATCCGCATCCCCGCTGAGAGCCACCTCACGAGCAGCGGCAGCCCGGAACATACTGGTCCTGCACTGTCAACAGCAGACTTTACATTTTTGGCCATGAAAATATGTAAAGATGAAATCATAACGGGTTTTTGAATAAAATCTAAAATATGTTCTTACATCACATAAATTCATCCTAAGATGGCGACATTCAGCTTTGATGAAATATTGATTTTTTTTTTTTTTTAATTCATGGTCATTTGGCCAAAACACACATTTGGTGCTGCTTTACAATGGTAACTTCAGGATCACATGTTCCAGGACCAAGACCATCTCCTGACCTAATCTGCAATGTAAATGAGGCCAAAGGGACACAAGGGCCACTGATGGCATCATCATCACCACGAAGTCTGCCACCACCCACCCTGGACACCCTCTCCATCTGGGGGCCACATGCCCATCTGTAGACCTGCCCTTCCCGGCTCGCTTGCAGCTGGGTGGCCGCGTGATGTGATTCTGCCCAGTGAGGGGCGGGGCAGAAGACATCGTGGGGGGGGGAGGGGGGCTTAAAAGAGGAACAGACCCTCTTCCTCCTGTCGGGGTCCCCTGCCATCTTGCAACCAAGACGCAACAAGGCCATGCTAGGGTAGTGGAGAGGGGACAGAGGGAGCCTGCTCCGAGCTGACATGCTGAACTAACAGGGCAGCGGTGTCCTCCTGGGCCACAGAAAAGGAAAGGGAGCAGCCTCCTCCTGAGGGATGGCTGAGCCCACATGCCCGTGCTCACATGCACCAACAGGCCCTGCATGTGTCATTGGGGCCCTCCTGCAGGCCTCCCATCTCCCCGGGCACCCACTCATGCTCCTACACTGCTCTGCCTACCGGCACAAAGAGCACGGAGGGGGCGCATTTCAGATCACTGCCCAGAGGCATGGCTGGCCCCACCCATTCCACGTGGACGCCCGGACGGTGGTGAAAAGCTAGCACTCCCCGATGGTCTTACCTGCTAGCTGTCAGGACCTCCCCTGTCACTGTTACCTGACTGCTGCCTTTGCACATGTAAACCAGCCATCGTGGTGTCCTCTTACCTACAGTCAGCGCCTCGAACAATCGGTGGATGATGCTGGCATCCTTCACAATGCCCGACTCCTGCACCCGCTTCACGAAGTCGTCCAGCTGCATGTGCTGCCGTGGCAGCTCGAAGTTCTTCACGCGGTCGTCTGCCTTGGGGGCCTCGCCAGCCTTGTCCAGGACCTCGCTGATGAGCCGCCTGAGCTCGGGCGTCTGCTCGGCCTGCGCACGCTCGGGGGCCGACATCGACTCCACCGTGCCCTTGACCAGGTCAGCAGGAAAAATCCCGACGTCTGTTTTGTACAGATTCTGGAAGTCCAGGAGAGCACTCAGCAGCTGTCCTTGCATCAGATGTACGAGGCCACGGAGGTAGAAATATCTAGCCAGGAGCAGGGAGTTGTCAGGGGCCAGAAAGCTCATGGCCTTGCTCAGCAGGGTGACGAAGTCAGTGTAGTATGCCTGGACACACTGGCTCACCAGGGGAAAGTGGATTTCTGGAATCTTGAACGTATATGTGGATTTAGGGGCCACATTCAGAACTAAAAAATTAAAGGAAAATATGGAGAAAATTAGCCCAGATCTTAAAAAATAAACACACGCCCCTGTCACATCACTTTGCAGGAGCCGACGTTTCCCGGCCCCGGGTGCAAAATGAAGCAGAACCGGTGCGCTTCCTCCCAGAGGTTCCCGGTGCCTCGAATGAGCCCGAGGCCCTCGTTCCTTCCATGACACCCTGAGAAAAATGAGAGCTAGCATTCATCAAACAATTCCATCTGCTAACGCTATTAATACTAAATCGAAACATTTGGTATTGAGGCTTTGAGGATTAAGCTAATAACATAAGCCAAGATGTACTCGCTAGGTAGGATGAAGCTGTTGAAAATAATTGTTTAATTTACCTTCGTGACAACTCTGCGTGTGGGGCTGTATTATTATTCCTATTTTACAGATGTGGAAACAGAGGCCTCCACGGCCTAGGTTCTTGTGCCCAGGTACACAGCTACTAAGAGCCAGAGTCAAACTTAAACCAGGTGTGTGTCTCATGCCAATTCTTCTAACAAATATTACCTCCAGGCCTCGCGGGTGCTCAGCATCGCCCGGGTGCTGGGTTTCCTCTTCTCCTGGAGCTCCAGTGCGTGGGGAGACTCAGAGGAGGGTCAGGGGAGCTCCAGGGTGAGGGCTCAGGGCAGAGAAAACAGAGCACGTTCCCAGAGCAAGCGGGCACAGGGCATTGCCAAGTGTGGATGAAAGGTTGTACAGAAGAGGACCCGTGGGACCAGAGAGGTGGAGTAACTTGCCCAGGGTCGCACAGCCAAACAGTGGCTGTACAGGGGACTGGGACCCAGAAGTGGGCCTCCAGAACACTTGCTCTGAGCTATGACACACAGTTGTTAAAGGGCAATACGGTCCTTTCATTTACACATGCTGCCCTTGCTAGACCAAAGCTCTCCTGGGAGTCATTGAGGTGTGTTGCTCCTGCAGCTTCCTTGATGTGGGCATATTCATCAGGAGGCATCACCAGTACCTGCTGCCTTAGCCCAAGACAGCAGCCACCAGAGTGCCCGTGCAGGTGGAGGTGCCTGGCCTCCCGACAATTGCCCCCAGAGACTACCAGGCACAGCTTGGCCTCGCCATGTGTTTGCATCTCTGCTGAAATGTCACCTCTGCAGTCAAAGCCACCATCACGATCCCTTTGTCTTTGCTCACTTTACCCCAGATCTCATGAATTTACATGTCCAGAAAGTGCCGGGCACTCCCCAGGAGCCTAATAGTTGCTGTATCCCATCACACGTTTACATATAAGGGGTATTCAAAAAGTTCATGGAAATATTAGTATTATCTTTTGATTCCATTTTCCGTGAGCTTTTTGTAGTGCCCTCGTGTGTAGATATATATTTTATGTATGCACACACATACGCCTCCATATACGCACACACAGACGTACACAATGCTCATGCACAAAAAATGCCCAACTGTGCACAGCTGTTATTTTCAGCAGGGACAATGGGTGATAAAAAACACAGACAAGAAATAATTTTCTATAGGAACACAGTTTGCAAAACCAATATCCTAAAACTATCTCAAATAACTAAACTGCTAAAACAGCAAACAACCCACTCCCTTCCTCTGAAACAAGCTGCACTATCTTCCAACGACCTGTCATGTGGGACTCGAGTGAGCAGAGCCGCCCCCCAGGAGGGGCAATGCTGTCACCTGTGCCATTGCTCTTGCAGCCCGTGGTGTCCATGACCCGAAGCGACAAGTTCCGGGGCGGCAGCTCGGGTATGGCTATGTCCTGCAGGTTGGGCATGCTGACCACCATGCGCCTGGGAGTGCCGTGCCGCGGCGAAGGCTTTTGCGTGGCCATTTTCTCAACTGTCGGTCTTCTTGGGCTTATAAGCGTCCCATTTAGTCTGGGGTGGAAAAAGCCATGCCTTACTTTATAGACACAATAACGATTGAAGAATAAGCCTAAACTGAGCATTTTTTCCAATGTAATGACAAGTGCAAAACTGAATGTTGCCTAAATCCTGCCACAGGTAGTTTAAGGGCCAAGGACAGACAGTCCAGCCCCAGAAAAGACCACGATATGAGAAGCGAATGCCAACTGCAGTTGATGCATGTTGAGGGGTGTCAGGAAAGCACCCGGGAGAGACAGAAAACTGAACAAGCTTCGAGAATGGGGAAAGTGTGGGAAGAGAAACAGAACGACGGGGACAGAGCGGCAGAACAAGACCCGGGCACAGGCCACAGGGCACCTGCTACGTCAGGCACGTCCAGCGTATTCCCCAAGAAACAGAACTATCCAGAGAAGAGAGTCACTGCTGTTACCCACCCTCATGAGTTTCCAAAACTGGGACTTTCCCTGCTGAACTGACCGTTCATCCATCCAAATAAAACTACGCTGCTTGAGCCTTTGGGTCCCAAACGCAACGGTGAAGTACCTGTCCTCTTCAGACTGGGTGCTGAGGTCCATCTGGGCAAAGGCGTCCATCCTTCTACTGAGCCGGGCTTTAAGGAAAGAATGGAACATGTAGGTGTCCAGGACCTGGAACAGAGAGAGGCGAGTTACCGCCGTGCTCCCGTGCACTCGGCGTCTGCGGGCACAGCCCGTGGCAGCCCTCTAGGAGTGCCTGCCCCACCCGCCAGGACGCCACCAACACCTGGCTCCTCCGGCAAAAGTTCCCCAAAGCGGACAGCTCACTCAATTTATTCTGATCCACAAAGACTATCCTGCAGTTTCTCACCTGCCCAGCTGAGAGAATCAGCTACTCCCTGCATTCGAAAAACCATAAAAAGTTTAAAAGCCAGACCACCTGCCCGCCACGCCAGCTGGATCTGCAGTGCTGTGCCGTGTCACCGATCCTCGGATCCTCTGGGAGCCAGCTGCGCGCCCCACCTGTCTACCGCCGCACACCTCCACCCGGCTCATGTTACCCAACGGCTGCCAGGCTCTCCAACAGCCAGTGTCTTTGTTCCCACCCTGACATCGCTCTCTACCGACCATGGGAACGTGGCCTAGCGAGGAGGAGAGGCCGGTGGACCGCAGGCCACCAAAGCCCAGGCGAGTAAAAGGGGGCAAAGCGCCCAGACGCAGGAAAACCCGACAAGTGGCGCCAGCCTGCAGACACATGGAGGAAGGGGACGGCCACACAGGAGGGTACGGTGCCAGTGTTCCTCCACCAGCGGGAGAAGCACGGACGAGGGAGGTTGGGCCCTGCCTGCAGGGGATCACCATGAAACAGCAGAGAGATGCTAGGGACAGGTCATGGAGCAGACAGAGGAGAGGACTCAAGCTCAGCCGAGGCTCCTGTAGAACCCACAACCAGGCGCAGTCACCACGGTCACAAAACAGGGCATCAGCTCTGAGTTCTGGGCTTTTCTCTGACCCCTGCATTCCATTTCTCTGATTTTCCCCTGTGCTCCTTTTCTCGAGTGGGTCCTACATGAGCAGAGTCTCGCGGTTCCTGTGCACCGAGAGTCTGTCCCCAGGGCTCCGCTGCTTTGCGTCATACGGGGGAGAGTGGGTGACGCAGCGGTCCTTGCACGCACCATGAGCAAACATCTGTACAGCATGCAGGATGCACGTGAGCACACGGGAAACCGTGAAGCACAGACAGCAAAATGGAAACGCCAACGCGCATGAGCAGAGAGGGGACAGACAAGGGCAGAAAGCAGGTGGCCACTGCCAGGGTGACAGGAGCACATGGGAAGTGGCCATTTGTTTTTCCTCCTTCTTCTCTATTGTATTTTTCTCATTTCCCCCAAGTGAGTATATATTACCTGTATCAGGAAAAACAGTTAACAATTACAAAAAGGGAAGAACTTGCCATGCTGTTTATAAAGTCAGCAGGACACTTAATAACTACCCGTGAAGAAATATGAGAGGACGTGTTTTAAATCTCCACATGCTGGTCTGTGCAAGGCTCTGAGGGGCACAGGCAAGACTGACAGACAAGCCGCACCTGCAGGAGCCCTCAGTCACAGGGGAGACACACAGGGACGCCACCTGCAGGCTGCCCTGGGTCTGAGAGAAAGGCCTCCTGAGGAGGGGACAGGTGGGACCCAACAGGTGGAGAGGCGCAGCCCCTTCCCTGCGCCCCTTTCATACAAACTCCTTGTGAGGCTTGTCTGCCCCATCTCTGATTTCCGCTAAACCCGTTTGGTCTCCACCACTCCACTGAAGTTGCTCTGTCCTGGTCACTGATGGCAGCCACTGTGTCCCTGTGTCACAATGGTCACCGCTCAGTCCTCCTCTTAGGGACGCGGCACAGTGAGGCCCCGTGAGCTTGCTCCTCCCCTGCTTCTAACCACCACCGTGACACCCTCCCATCTCCCTTGCAGTCCCTCCTCCATCCCCCGACCTCCTAGCAGGCCCCAGGACTGAGCCCCCAGGCAGCCTCAGTCCTCTTCACCCCTCTGGCCACTCGCTCCCTTAGCGACCTCCCCTGGGCTCATGGCTTTAAACATCACGTAGGTGCTGGCGATACCCAAACATCTCCCTCGAGGCAGATCCCTCGCCCAAGCTCCAGAGCACACACATCGCCCACCCGACCACTCGACGTCTCACACACAGCAACCCTACACGTCCACAACAGGCTCCCAATCCTGCCTGCAAAGCTGCGCTGCCAGGCACTTGCCATCTGGGCTGATGGCAACTCCCCCCTGCCAGTGTTCAGGCCCAAACTGGAGTCGCCCCTGACCCCTCTCTCTTTCCTGATCCAGCCCGTCATGAAGTCCTGCTGCTCCTTCAGAACACGCAGAGCAACCACTCCCACCACCTCCCTGGTGCCCGCCTGGGCCAAGCCCCACCTGCCCCTGGACTGTTGCAACAGCCTCCTGGCAGCTCTCCTAAGTCCACTCTTACCCCAGGGTCTGTCTTAAGACACAGTCAGGTGACATGTGGAACATATGGGTCAGGGCACGTCACGCCTGTGCTCCAAAGCCTCCAGTGCCTCTCATGGCTCTCAGACGCTTTTCAAATAAGCTGGATGTATTCAGAATGGGAACTCCAAGATGTGGGCCACAGAGTCCCCTGATGGCTTTGTCCTCACGACCCAGCCTGACCTGGCACAGATCTGGGATCCACCGCTCATGCTCAGTGAATATTCACAGAATGAATGAATTCAATTGTTTTCTGCTCCTCATTTGTACAGGCAGAAGACATTTCTGTCCTATATTGAAACACTGGGTCCACCTGTTATAGTAGCTAAAGGAGGTGAGCTCCCCTTCTGGCCACCGCGCAGTGTGCAAGTGCGATATTATCACATGCATATTTTGGTTTTCATCCAGGTTCCTGGCTCACGACTCCCATGGCCCTTGTTATCTCCTGATTGCCTGAAACAATAAGCCTGGCACTTCAGGCCTCAGGACAGAGTCTCTCTGTTCCCTCTCCTCCTTCCTGTCACCTGCTCCTTTTCCTCCCCAGGGCAGGACTTGAATCTTCCCCTGACTTTCTGTCTTGGCGCTGGCCATAAAGAAATCCTCTGACCCGCCTTCTCTGATTATAGGTGATAAGATCCCCCCATTCCAGAGGGTCCTGCCCATGCCCAGGAGGAAGCAGCACTGCACAGAGAGGCTGAGAGGACTCTGACCACACAGGCCGTGCTGGCTGTCCCCACCTGGTCTATTAGTATTAAAACACACTTTGTGTCCAATCACATTTCTACATGGTTGTCCATGCTTCAATCACGTCTCTGTAATGAAGCTCCCATATAAACCCAAAGGACTGGGTTAGGGGAGCTTCCAAATAGCCGAACCCGTGGAGGGTCCTGCAGGCGGTGCCGGGGGGGACATGGACGCTCGGCTCCCTCCCCACACCTCGCCCCTCGCGTCTCGTCATCCGCATCCTTTGTCAGAGCCCTTATAATAAACTGGTAACTGCATGTAAGTGTTCCCTGAGTCCTGTGAGCCACTCTAAAAAATTAATTGAACCCAGGGAGGGGTTATGGGAACCCCGATTTACAGATGGTCAGTCAGAAGAAGCACAGGCACAACCTGGGGCTTGTGATTGGCATCGGAAGTGGGGGACAGTCTCGAGGGACTGCGCCCTCCACCTGCGGGGTCCGAGGCTCTCTCCAGGCAGGCAGCGCCGGAAGTGAATGGGAGGACAGCCAGCTGGTGTCCGCTGCAGAGCCGACTGCTTGCTGGTGGGGACCCCCACTTCCCGCACACACCTGGCGTCAGGAGTGTGTATGGAGGGCACAGGGCGACAAAGTTTTGTTTTCCACCCAGCAAGGCTCAGGTGTATCCTCCTGACATAAGCTCTGGGGAAACTCAGTAAAACAGACGAAATGACTGTTTTCAGGCACTGAACAAGCAGCAGCCTGGGACTGTGACTCCTGAGAAAGGGGGCTGGGTGAGACGGTCAGGGCTGCCCCGGCCTTGGAAGGAATGCCAGGACAGACGGACTCGAGCTCGGGAGGCCAGGCCGCCGAAGCCTCGGGGCAGAGTCTGGAGAGGAGGGCGACCCGCAGAGTTCCTGCACGCTGCCCGGGGGTGTCCTCCAGCCTTTGCAGAGACTCAGGTGCTCAAATACAGGCTGAAACCACACAGCACGGGGCAGGGAGCACCCAGGGAGCGTGAGCCAAACAATTCTGCAAGCTCACTAAGGGCAGGGAGCCATCCGTGCTCCAGACAGCCAGAACACAGAGTCCACCCAGGGCAGAGGCGCTCGACTGTGACCCACCCCTAGAGAAGGGCTGCTCGCCACCACCCGAAAGCATAAAAACAAGCCCCTAAAGCATCGAGAGGATCTGCATGGAACTTCGGTCGCCTGCCAGCACACAGCCCCTAATATTGTCTTTCTTTTGTAACAGACAAAAACCCAAATGCTCAAGGACAGGTGGACAGAAAACAAAGGTGTTCCATCCCAACGATGGAACATCCAGCAATAACAAGGCGCGAACTGCTGAGACACGCAGCAGCACGGGCCAGGCTCAGAGGCGGCCTGGCGGGGCAGCAGCGGGCAGCGGGCAGACCCAGGGATGGCGCCGGCAGGAACCCTCCAGCGACAGGCCTCGTCTGCAGGCACAGACACAGATGAGAAGCTGCCCGGGGTCAGGGGAGGGATGGGACTGCCCGGGAAGGGCCCAGGAATCCAGGAATCACGAGGGATGACAGACGTGTTCTACATCCAGATCGAGGAAGTGGTTATAAAGGTAGGTACGTGTGGCAAAACTCATCAAACTGTACACTTATAATGGGTGTATTTTTTGGGCCGGCCCGGTGGCGCACTGCTACAGTGCACCACTTGTGAGCGCAGTGGCGCTCCTGCCGAGGGTTCGGATCCCACATACAGACCGGCCGCTCCCTGGCTGAGCGAGGTGCGGCCGCAACACCGAGGGTTGCGGTCCCATTGCCGGGAGCAAAAAAAGACAAAAAGGAAAAAAAAATGGGTGTATTTTATTATATGTAAAGTATATTTGATTTAAAAAATAGGAGATGGCCAAATGATCAAAAGGAACTGTGCTAAAGCAAACTTTCTGGAAAAGGTAATGCACGTAATAAAATATTAACAGATGTTGATAAAAACCTGTTTTGAAAATGTTTAAATATAGCAAAGTATAACAGATCGAACAGAGATGCCCAAATCCCACACCTCTTACCTGTTTATAAAACAGTTGATCCCCGGGAGCTCTTGTTTTGAGAAATTCTTCACTATTAAATACTCTATGTTCATAATTTAAATGATTCTTCACCTCCCTAACAAAGAGAAAGAGAGTCGAAGTGCTAAAATATTTTTAAAGACGTGAAAGACATCACTTTTAGGAGCAGAAAAATTGCGACAAGAACTGCACACTCTGAAAAGCCCCGTTCTTCAGAAAGATTATTCTGATTCCGCAAATGACACAGTTTGGATGTATTTTGTGGTCGAGCATAACTTCCCCCCGGCTAGAATGAAACTCCAGGAGACAACGTCAGTGTCCTCACCTTCCTCAGGCCCCTCGTTATTTATGCAAATTAAGACACAATAATCAATCATTGTTCACACAAATCAAATCGAGTTCAGAGTGGTAACACCTACGCTGGCCTGGCTCGGCCACCAGCTGCCCCGCACAAGTCACTTCATCCTTTGTACCGCTTACAGTTATAAATTATCATCCCATGGAAATTTTAGCATACGGTCTTCCCGATCTGAAGCAATATTCTACAGGCAGAACTGATAACCTTACAGGACACATTCAGTATGAAGAGTGTTCAAAGCTATCCTTCCTTTGTGAGGAAAATGATCTCATGCAGGGGACCTGAAGTTTTACAATCTGCAATCGTATTTTCTGCTTTTCTGTCAACTCGCTGAGCTTGTAAAGTTTTTTTTTTTTTAAAGCCTTGGTTATGGAAGATTTTGTCTTCAAAGAACAAAAGGAAAACAACGTATTCAGGACCACACGAACTATACTGCGTGAGCAGAGATAATACCACGTGCCTGTAATACACCATCCCGTTTTTTTCCTAACAAATTATCTGCTTTGTGTAAATAAATACACCAAAAAATAAGGCATATCTGGGAGAGCGAGCCCCGGCGTCGGACGCCTTCCTTTGCTACTGGACTCAGGAAGGAAGCAGAAGGACAGAAGGACACTGCAAGAGAAAGAGAAGGAAGAGAAAGAGGAGTGAAAGGCTTTTGCCCTAAAAATGGCTCACAAAGTTATCATTTTAGGCATATATTTACCATACATTCCTTAAATGACTGCACTTTTAGGCCAGAAATAGCAACCCAATCCCTTCACTGTACCCCTAACATGAACACGCTGCCCAACCCCAGCCTGAATGCTGGGGAAGCAGCAGCGAGCAAGGCACGTGTGACAATGACAATCACTGGAACGAGGAGGCAGAAGAAACCTCTGACAGGCACATCCCGGGTGCCCGTCATCCTAGCAGCTCTCCTCCAGGTGGCTTCATTATCTAGCTTATGAGTCAGGTCGAAAAGACCCGTCTGTCCCCTCGCCCGTCCCTGAATGCAGGCCTCTGGGGACAGAGCCCTCGGCCAAAATATGCCCGCATGGACGAGCTCTCCCTGCAGGGTTGTGGCCAGGTGCACGTCTCCCTGGAACAGCCACCCTCAGGCAGCCCCTGGCAGGAGGGACAGAGGGGGCTCGGAGGGCACGAGGCAGGGTCAGAGTAAAGTCACACAGCCCCAATACACCTGCTGTCATGGCTGCAAGAAGAGGCATGCTAGGGGTGGCGGCCACTCTCATTTCTGCAGCCATAGGTTTATTTCAATTGCCTGAGCTTTGGAATGCCACTATCACCATGGGACAGAAGGCTGGCTGGTCACCTTCCTACAGATCCTGGAACATTCTGCCAAATACCTGAAGATACTGACGAGCAGCTGCAGGGTGATCTGCTGGATCTCGCTGTTGAGTGCCTGCTGCCAGGCTCGCCGGTGGGCTTGACCCTCATTCAGGTCTGTGCTGGAGCTCAGGTGAGCGAGGTGCAGCTCCCGGTGCAGCCGGAGGCTCTGGACCCTGGAAGGAAGTAGACCGAGGCCAGCCACAGCTGGGCATCACCAAGGCCGCTGCTCACCAGCAGCAGGCAGCCCTCCAGCAGGGGCCTGCTCCCACTAGAGGAATGAACACTTAGGATGCTCAGAATACCCACCAACAACTTGGGGATGGAGGTCATTAAACATACATTGCTGGAAGAGTTCATTCCCGGCACACATAAGCTCATGAAGGCCTGGACTCCGGGCCACACGTTTCTATCCAAGCTGAATCACTCCGCCCCCTTCGCCCTGCCTGGTGAGCACACACCCTTCCAGGACGGCCAGAGGCTTCCAGCTTACTTAGGCTGCCTCTGGTCTGGCTGGTCTGGGCTGCCCAGGAAGGACAGTCACAGTCCACTGCCCAGGCAGGCCTGGATGCCCCTCTGTGCCTCACACCAAGTGTTCCGGGTGTCACTGCTTTTGGCTCAGCAGGGACAGCCACTTATTCACCTTGAGGTCCTCACTCAGGAACACGGCCTCATGGTTACCTCTGTCAACCCTGAGACACTATTAAATATGATGCCTGGCTTTCCCAATGCTACTCAAGGCTGTGCTTTTAGGGGGACTTTGAAAATCAACAAGCAAGGGTGCAATTTTAAACATGCAAAATAACCATAACCAACATTCGTCTAGTCCACGAGTATTTCCAGAGCACCTTCTACATGCTGGCACCATCGTGAGTACTGGGATGAGAGGGGACCACAGGCAAAGCCCCTGCCTGATTGGAACTTATGTGCAAGTGGAGAGAAACAGAAAACAGATAAACCATGACACATGAGCTAACGGGAGGTTAGGCAGAGAATCAAAACAGAGGGCTGGGCTAGGAATGGAAAATGGTCAGACTGAACGAGTGGAGAGGTCCTCCCAGGTGACCAGGAACCTGAAATGTGAAAGAGAAGATGCGGGGAGGGGGTGGGGAGCAGGGGCGGGGCCTACGGTGGGTGGGGTGGGCTTGCTGGGCCCAGCGGGTGGGGGGCAGGTCCCAGCCATCAGCAGCAGCAGGTGGAGGGCAGGGGTGGGGCCCTGGGCTCACTCCCCACGTGCCCAGCAGCAGCTGCTGAGGGCGTCCCCAGCCCCGGCTGGTCCTGGCTAAACAGACCTTGGGTAACCACCCCTGCCTGGAAGTGTCGTGACTGCGATGCTGCTGTTTATTGGCACCACACCGGCCTTTCACCTGCAGAACACGGAGCATCACAGGGAAAGGAATTTCAGTGGTTTTTCCAGCATAAAAGGCTGTGACACTGCCTGCAGCGGCACTCTCTCTCCCTGTACCTCCTGGTGTAGGGACAATCAGATCTGAAAAGGCCACCTGTGCCCCCTGGGATCCATCCTTCTTTCTCACCTGGGCACTCAGCCAGCACAGCCCTGGCTGGGGATCCTGTCCCTGTCCCAGGAGGATTAGGCAGCGGCAGGGGGGCTGAGGCAAAGGTACACTGCTGATCACAGTGATGCAGACCGCGGGCAGAGAGAGCAGAGGGCATCACAGGGAGGCTGGGGAAGAAAGGCCACTGCTCCTCAGCCCTCCTGGCTACATGCCCGTGTGGGACCAAGACTGTGGCTGGATCATGGTCTCAGAGGCCTCTGGCAGACGGTCACCTACCACACACGGGTTAGTTCACGTTTACAAAACGAAGTCTCCCATAATGAGACTGCAGGAGACACCCCACCCCACATATCCATTCTGGGGGCAAGGGGGTGGAGGGGGGTCTGGCCAACACGGTGATCCCACCTCTGCACTGTGTGCGTTTATATTCTGGAATTCTAACAATCACAGGCAGACACAGGCAAGAATCCCATCTTGCTGGGAACACATGACCAGAGTGAACATGCGACCAGAGCAAACACATGAGAAGCCCCACCAAAAGCCTGCAAGGGCCACACTCATCTAAAAGTCAGGGGATGCAGCTTGTGCTTATCAGAAAGTACACAGGGCCACTGCGAATGCAAGTTTTGCCTTCTGAGTTCACACAGAGGGAAATTCCCAACAGAACAGCTGGTACAAGTCCCCTGAGCACAAGCCTCGGTGGCAGCAGGAGAAGGACCTTGTGATCTTAGCTCCTCCAGCAAACAAACACTCCTCCTGTGCCCTCGCCCTAGTGTGGCTATTGGCCTTTTTCAGTTTTTTAAGATGGAAGGAGCAATACTAAAGGAAGTGCTCCTAAATATTTTACAGAAACCACCCAGGTAGAAGGAACAACCAGTACCAAGGTAAGAGTCAGAAATCAGAACTGCCAAGTGGAAGTTACCCAAGATGAAGTCTGCCCCATCTCCCACTCTACCAGGGTCAGCTCCTTCCACGCCTCGTCTCCCAATAAAATGACAAAAGAAAGGGGAGAAGAGAGCCACCCTAACCACATCCCACAGCATCAGAGGCTTCCCCAGAAGCAAGTGCAGCCTGGCCGTCTGCGAGAACGCCTAAAAGCAGCTGCTGCGTCTGTTCCGCATCCTCCAGCATCAGTTCTGTGAGTCACGCTCGAGGTCTGGCCGCAGTCAGACCCTACAGGCTGTGACGACTAAAAGCAGGGTTTCTTCTGCTACCATTTTGGAAAGTTCCAAAGGAAATTAAGTACTCTGCAGAATGAGCCCAAGGGAGCTCCGGTACTGCTAGGCCTGGGGCAGCGCCGAATCAGGACACACCCAGGATGCCCAACCCCCAGCACCCACCTTCACCCTGACATAGTCAGCAATTTACCTGCCTCACTCTCCCCTGGCGAAGCTCATGGAAGAAAGCCCCTGCCAAGCCCCTCCACCACGACAGAGACCACAGAGACCATAGGGCCCCCAAAGCCTAAATTATTATTTGGCCTCTTTTGGAAAAAGTTTGCCTACGCCTGATCTAAAATTTAGTAATAGAGATGAAAGAAAACAGAACCGGCTGTAAAAAAGGCATGAAAAAATGATTACCAATAGAGTGCCAGGGGAGGTGAAAAGAAAAAGACAACTTCTCGCTCAGGATAATGGACAGTGCCCATCAGAGTCCAGCAGACTGACAGTGTCACGGGTTAGGGGCCACAGCTGTTCCGTCATCAGCACATAGATCCTGCCCAATTCCAGGTGTGCAATGGGATGCGATACATATCTAGCGAATGGAAGAATGGATGGATGGACGAACAAAGCAGAAGGGACCCCAAAGATGATACACACAGGATCCTGGGCACAGGACAGAGAGGGGGAGGTTTCCTGGAGAATGTGACTGTCCCCTGACTCTATAGGACCATAATTAGTATTTAGACAAGGTCAGAATAAAGACAAATCACTTTTATTTAGAAATACTCGGCGTCCTCCATCCAATAGAACAAGAAGCCCTTGAAATGAATGACAGGGAATTTCGAGTGTTAATTCTAAAGAGGCTGAATGAGATACAAGAAAACACAGCTAGACAGCATGATGAAACCAGAAAAAACATTCAAGACATGAAAGACCAAATGTACAAGGAAATCACTGTCATAAAAAAAAACGTAGCAGAACTTGCTGAAATGAAGAAGTTATTCAGCGAAATAAAAAACACATTGGAGAGTTTAACTAGCAGGATAACGGAAGTCGAAGAGAGAACCTCGGTTCTTGAAGATGGGCTCTTTGGAATAATACAAACAGACAAGAAAAAAGATAAAAGTATCAAAGAAATCGAAGACAATCAGAGAGAAATATTAGACAACCTTAAGCGCTCAAATATCCGAATCATGGGTATTTCAGAAGGGGAGGAAAAAAGTGAATGTATTGAAAACATATTCAGCAAAATAGTGGCAGAAAACTTCCCAGACATAAGAAAAACCACAGATCTACAGATCCAAGAAGCTCAACGATCCCCAAACGTATTCAACCCAAAAAGGGATTCACCAAGGCATATTATAGTCAAAATGACAAAACTCAAAGACAAAGAGAGAATCTTGAAAGCTGCAAGAGAGAAGCACCAAATCACCTATAAGGGGGATCCAATCAGGTTAACGTCAGACTTCTCAACACAAACCCTAAAGGCCAGAAGGGAATGGGATGATATATTTAAAATACTAAAAGACAAAGATTGCCAACCAAGAATACTCTACCCTGCAAGGCTGTCCTTCCGAAATGAAGGGCAAATAGTACATTTCTCAGACAAACAAAAACTGCGGGAGTTCATCACCACACGACCACCCTTACAAGCAATTCTCAAGGGAGTACTGGGATTGGATCCCGGAAGATAATTACCACTCCCATAACAATCCAAGTAAAATAAAAACTCACTACTATAAGAAAAATGACTATCATGAAAAGAAAACAAACGATCATAATCACCAGAGGCAACCTCAGGAACCAACAAACACAGAAAACAAACAGCAAAACAGAAAGCAAGGAACAAACATCACTCAAGAAAATCAAAAAAATAATTAAATGCTAGGAATAAAGCAACACCTCTCAATAACAACCCTTAATGTCAAGGGTTTAAATTCACCAATCAAAAGACACAGATTGGCTGACTGGATAAGAAAGATCAACCCAACTATATGCTGCCTACAAGAGACCCACCTCACCCATAAAGACTCACATAGATTAAGAGTGAAAGGATGGAAAAAGATCTTCCAAGCAAACAGAAAAGAAAAACGAGCTGGAGTAGCTATACTAATATCAGACAAAATAGACTTTAAACTAAAAACCAAAAAAAGAGACAATGAGGGTCACTACATAATGATAAAAGGACTGATACATCAAGAAGACATAACAATCATAAATATGTATGCACCCAATGTTGGAGCACCCAGATTCATAAAACAAACTCTATTAGAACTAAAAAAGGAAATAGACACTAATACTATAATAGCAGGCGACCTGAACACCCCACTGTCAATTTTGGATAGATCAACCAGGCAAAGAATTAGCAGAGAAACACAAGAACTTAACAAAACTTTAGACCAATTGGACATGGCAGATATCTACAGAACATTCCATCCAACAACCTCAGAATATTCATTCTTCTCATCAGCACATGGATCATTCTCCAGGATAGATCACATATTAGGACACAAATCAAGTCTCAACAAATTCAAAAAAATTGGAATTATCCCATGTATTTTCTCAGACCACAATGGATTAAAACTAGAAATCAATAATAAACAAAACACTGGAAAGTATACAAACACATGGAAATTAAACAGCATTCTACTTAACGATACATGGGTCCAAGAAGAAATCAAACAGGAAATAAAAAAATTTATTGAAACTAATGAAAATAATGATACATCATACCAAAACTTGTGGGATACAGCAAAGGCAGTACTAAGGGGGAAATTTATTGCATTAAATGCCTACCTCAGAAAAATGGAAAGCTGGCAAGTGAACAATCTAATAAAGCGCCTTAAAGAACTAGAAAAACAAGAACAATCCAAACCTAAAGTTAGCAGAAGGAAAGAAATCATCAAGATCAGAGCAGAACTTAACGAAATTGAAACCCAAAAAACAATACAAAAGATCAACAAATCAAAAAGTTGGTTTTTTGAAAAGATAAACAAAATCGACAAACCACTTGCATGGCTAACAAAAAAAAGAAGAGAGAAGATTCAAATAACAAAAATTAGAAATGAAAAAGGTGATATTACAACTGACCCAAATGAAATACAAGGAATCATCCGAGACTACTATAAACAGCTATACGCCAACAAGTTCGAAAACCTGGAGGAAATGGATAAATTTCTGGACTCACACAAGCTTCCAAAATTAAACCAAGAAGATATAGAAAACCTGAACAGACCGATAACATTAAAGGAGACTGAAGATGTTATCAGAAAGCTCCCAACAAAGAAAAGCCCAGGACCAGATGGATTCACAGCAGAATTTTACCAAACATTCAAAGAGGAAATGACACCGATTCTTTACAAACTATTCCAAAAGATTGAAACAGAAGCAAAGCTTCCAAACACATTCTACGAAGCAAACATCATCCTGATACCAAAACCAGATAAAGATATAACCAAGAAAGAAAACTACAGGCCAATATCCTTGATGAATATAGATGCAAAAATCCTCAATAAAATATTAGCAAACAGAATACAACAACACATATGCAAGATCATTCACCACGATCAAGTGGGATTCATCCCAGGGAAGCAAGGTTGGTTCAACATACACAAATCAATAAATGTGATACACCAAATTAATAAAATCAAATGCAAGGACCATATGATCATGTCTATAGATGCTGAAAAAGCATTTGATAAAATCCAACACTCATTCATGACAAAGACCCTTTATAAATTAGGTATAGAGGAAAAGTATCTAAACATAATCAAAGCCATATATAATAAACCCATCGCCATTATCATTCTGAACGTGGAAAAACTGAAAGCTTTTCCTTTAAGAAC